GACTCCTCGGAAGGCTTCAGACGCCTCCCGCAGGCGGCAGCCCCGGAGGCGGCGCAGGGCAAGGGTGGCCCTGGCGAGTCCGAGGCCGGCGCGGGAGGGGAGGGCGAGCTGCGGGGCGCCGGCGACCAGCCCGAGACGCGCTCGGTATGCAGCAGCCGCAGCAGCACCAGCAGCGGCGGCGACCAGCGCGCCGGCCACCAGCACCAGCACCACCAGCCCATCTGCAAGATCTGCTTCCAGGGCGCCGAGCAGGTAAGGCCCCCGGGGGCGTGGGCTGCTCGGCCCGGCTCTGCCGGCTCCGTCAGCGGCTCCCGAGCTTTCAGCACCACGGACAGAGCTCGCCTCTCCTGCTCCGGGGAGGCTTGGCAGTTCCCGCCTGTCCACACTCTGTTAGTCCTCCCCTTACTGGAAAGGCAGATTCACGTCCGGTATGGAAGACAGTACTTGATTTGATACACACTTTCCCCCTCCACCTCGTTTTGTACATTCCTCAGTTTTTGGTGTTTTGTTTTTTTTTTTTTTGTAATAACAATGCTGTAAGTATCTCGTAAGCAAAATTAGTAAGTGGATTTTAGGTAAACCGTAGAGGCAGAATTAGAGGATGCAAAGTGAAGTCCTCTCAATATAAATACACGCGAAGGGGAAGCCCCCCCCTTCTACAAGTGTATTTTGACAATATCTTCTTAGAATACAAACTGAGCCCCCTTTCTACAAATGTATTCTGAGAGTATAGTCTTAGAAATACAAACTGACCCAACCAGAAAGGACAGAATCTTGCCTGGCTGCAAAGTTGGATGACTTAATCTTAAGTGATGTGAAAAGCCTGTGAGTTTTCCTCAGAGGAATAGGAATTTATGTTGACCTTGTGTAGGAAAGGGCTCCTGAGTCAGGCGGCGACTTTTATGTTTTGTAACAGCACCGTTCTAACATGATAAACTCTATTAGAAGTGCATGCCAAGTTGTATGGAAGAAGCCATACGGACAGAAGGATAAGCTAAGTGTCTTGCAGAGTGTGTGGTCTGAGAAAACATTAGGTTTCTTATTTAGAAAGTAAGGAAATTGCCTAAGAAAGGCAGGCTTTCAGGAATCTAGTGCCCCACGTCAATGATGCTACATTTAGAAAAAGGAAAAAAAAAAAGAAAAAAGAAAGCATTATACTGTTGCTTTCTGGGAGGCTATGCATTTCTTGCTTAGCAATGATTAAGAATAACTGCAGAGGAAATGCATCTGACCATCCACTTAAAAGTTCTTAAAGAGATTTAATAGTCCAGCTTTTCCTCAAGGGTATTGGGAGTTAGATCTTGCAGACGTTTTCTATGGTGGTAGGACATTTATGTTGTAACGCTAAGCAGTATCTTTGAAATAGGCTTAAGACTTTAATTGCATTCCCGACAGAGGTATAAAATTTTAATTTCATTTTCTAGGAGAGAGCATGGAGCCTAAGATCCTTCTGGGTAAATGGCTTTGAAAAGCAGGAAAAACAAGTGTTGGGTTTTGGAAAGAGAGACCTAGTCATGGGCATGGATATTCATACAGAGCTGGTTTCTTTTTAGGGTGAGCTGTTGAACCCCTGCCGGTGTGATGGGTCCGTTCGGTATACACATCAGCTTTGCCTGCTCAAGTGGATTAGTGAGAGGGGCTCCTGGACCTGTGAGCTCTGCTGTTACAGGTACCACGTCATAGCTATCAAAATGAAGCAGCCTTGCCAGGTAATGCATGCACGATTCTTTTCTCCAGAAAGACTTTTGCCTGAGTTGAATTGTGATTAAGGATATGCTACCTTAAATGGAAAAAACCCCCAAACAAACCGAAAAACAAAAAAACCCAACCCACCATCTTTAAGAGGGGGGGGAATAACAAGATTTAGAATTTGTGAATATGTGCTTTGAGAGAGCCGTGACATTTCCTCTGAGAAACTCAAAAGAGATTGTCAACCAAATTATTTCATTGTTTAATTTGTCATGGAGCTATGAATCGAGACCCATTTTTTGTTTAAAAAGAAACACACTAATTGGCAAAATGTTTTAGGTTCAGTAAAATAAATTTTATGAATTAGAAATGTTACAGAGTCCTGGTTTGGCTCCATATATGACAAAAGGATGCAAGTAAAACCGAACTTTACCAGTCTGTGGCAATTCTGGCTGAACTTACTAGTTCTAATTTAAACACTCTTCTTTAACTGAGCTTTCTTTTTTTTTTCCCCCAAGAGATGTTTCACATGGCTACTTTTCTATTTTTTTGCTCTGTTCAGCGACGGTGGATGCAGAAGTTATTTCCAATAAGACGACAGTAATAATATGTATTCTTCAAATCTTTGTATGCAGTCACATAATGACACAAGACACAGAACCCTGCAAGTGTCTTTGCAAAAGCTGTCTATTTTCCCAGGTGGAAAGGATTCAGTTCTTTGAGTAGACTGATTGAATGTAAAAGATAGAGGATTAAGAGTGGCATCTTAAACTAGTGAAATGGGTAATTGACCAGAGTTGGCAGTATGATGGGGCTGAAGTTAAGCAGACACAGAGAGATTGGGGTTCAAAACACAGATTAAAGAGGTAATGGAAGGAAAAACAAGAGGAAATTGAAAAGTAGAAAGGAAGAGAGTAAGAAAACCCAGTCTTGAGGTTGTCTATTAAAATTGCCATCCTTAGTTTGCATTGAATGATGGGAAGGGGGTGAGATTGTTAACCTGTGCGTAAGGACCCTGAATTACTACTGCACTAATAATTTCATTTTCATAGTTTTTAATTTGTGCATCCTTCATGTAATTTGCAATTAATTTGCATCTCAGATAGTCTCCACTTAAGGCATGATTAGCAAGCATGAAATGAAAAGATGAGTTTTCTCAAGCTGACCTGAGGCTTATAAATAATGTGAAAAGAAGAAGCGTAACTAATATGAATGAGTGACGGTATCATGCTGCAGATAGGCACAAACCGGACACATTTCCCTAGAATCTCTAATTGATGGAGCTACTTGGCTATCAATTTATGGATCTATCCTAGTTGTCTTGAGAAACAGATGGAGCCATTTCCAAAGAACAGGATATGGGCTGTGTAGTTGGATCTACAAGAATGCGAATGATTAGAAATATGTGGAAAGAAGAGACAGGGAGAGTTTTGGAGCACCATTTCTAATTGTCCAATGAACAGTGTTATAGTTGAAGATCAGCAGAATGCTAGATCTTTAAATTACTTTGGCTTAACTAGGAAGACATCCTGGTGGTGTCCGGTAAAGATTATGGACTAGAAAATCATATGGGGCAATTCTCCTTTGTTACACAGGGCCACTATGAGTGGAAATTGACTTGGTGGCACACAGCAACATGGCTGATAAGTGAAGGGGGGAAAGAGGAATAACTATATGCCTTAGCATGACTATATTCCTAATATAATTGTTATGTTAGACCATAACCATTCAAAAACTTTGACTGATGGCTTCCAGTTATAAATACATCTAATATGATTAATTTGGAAGTGAATAGAAATAGTACATTACTCATTTTAAACAATTTAAAATAATTAAAAATTTTTCCTTTTAATATATCTCCTGGAGCAAAAATAGCCAAGGGGGAAAAATTACTTTTGTGTTGTTTCATTTTGTAAAGAAAAATTGATAATTATTTTAGCATAACCAACTGGCTAAGCTGTGTATGTTATATTGTTGTTGTTATGTGCCATCGAGTCACCTATGACTCGTAGTGACCCTATGTACAACCCTAAACCCTGCTCTATTCTGTGCTAACCTTATTGTCTCTGACACACTTAACCCTAGTACCCCAGTCACTGAATCAATCCAACTCATTGAGAGTCTTTCTCTCTTGCATTGTCCCTCGACCCTTCCAAGCATGACATCCGTCTCCAAGGACTTGTCCCTTCTTGCAGCATGTCCAAAGTATGTCAGATGAAGCTTCAGAATCCTTGCCTCTAAGAAGCAGCCTGGTTTCACCCTCTCCAAGAAGAACCTGTTTGTTCTCTAAGTAGTCTATGGTATATTCAGTACTCTTCTCCAGCACCACAGCTCAAAGGCATCAGCTCTCCTATCATCCTTGATCATTGCCCAGCTCTCTGATGCATAACAAGTATATGATATAATAAGAACAAAATAGTATTCCTAACATTTTCTTTTTTAAAAAAAGAAGTAAACTGAAAAACTGATTGTCATTGTGTTGGAACTGGCTCATAGTCACATGAAAGCGAAGTATTAATTTTATACCCATGGAGAACTCTGGTGGATTCAAACTGCCAGCCAGAGAGGCACTGCTTTTGAGTTAGCCATGCTATAATCTGTGCCAAGAGTAATATACTCTCTATTTGTTGTGGTTGTTGTTATGTGCTGTTGAGTCACCTGTGACTCATAGAGACCCTATGTACAGTAGCTCTGAAGCCTGCCCTGTCCTAAGCCAGTCTCACTGACTCTGACACACCTACTCCCATTGTCCTAGTTACTGTATCAATCCATCTCATCTGGGTTTTTTCTCCTCTGCTCTGTCTCTCCATCCTTCCAAGCATGGGGTCTTTCTCCAAGGATTAGACCCTCCTGGCCACATTCCTAACCTCCAAGGAGAAACTTGGTTTCACCCTCTCAAAAATAGATCTATTTGTTTTCTTGGCAGTCCATTGTATGTTCAAGACTCTTCTCCAGCACCACAACTCAAAGGCATCAATTTTTCTTCTGTCATCCTTAGTTATCCAGCTCTCTGATGCATAACAAATAATTGTGAAGACGATGGATGGACTATTGTTTCTCAGCACTCTGGAAAGGTCCCTGACAGCAGATTAACCTAATGCAATTCAACTTTTGATTTTTTTGACTGCTGGTGTGCCTAATACAGGTCATGGTCTTCTCAATTACTTGTTATGCTTCAGAGAGTTGGACAATGACTAAGGATGACAGAAGAAGAATAGATGTCTTTGAGTTGTGGTGCTGGAGAAGAGCCTTGAACATACATACCATGGACTGCCAAGAAAACAAAATCTGTCTTGGAGAGGGTGAAACCAAGTCTCTCCTTGGAGGCTAGGATTTTAAAGCTCTGCCTCACTTACTTTGGGCACATGGCCAGGGGAGATCGGTCCTTGGAGAAAGACATCATTCTCAGAAGCGTGGACGGACAGAGCAGGAGAGGGAGATCCCGGATGAGATGGATTGATACAGTGACTGGGGCAATGGGGGTTGATGCGTCAGAATTAGTGAGACTGGCTCAGGACAAGGAAGGGTTCAGAGCTGCTGTACATAGGGTCACTGTATGTTGCAGGTGATTCAACGGCACATAACAACAATAACATACTATGACAGGTTTTGGAAGCAGGAGAGCAATCCACTTCCTAAATAACATGCCCCCGGAAACTCTATGAACTTTGATAAATGTCGATAGGTGTAGAGGGGCTTCAGGCCTTTTGTTCAGAGGGTCACTATGAGATGTACTCGACTCGAAGGCAACCAGTGACAACACCACCAAACCTGAATTGATTGAGGTGACCTGGGTGGTTCTTTTCAGTCTCCCAGAGGATTGGCTGGATTTGGACTTCCAACACAACTCACTTATTTGACTTGTTTTTGGCCCTGACTGCAGGCGCAGTTGGGTCTGTCAGTTGATGCTTCGCACAAGTCGGCAGTTGGAACCCAAGAGGGTGAGAGTGGCAGTTAGACTCTCTTAAGGCCCAATCTGGGAAGTGGCACTGCTTCACTAACGCATCATTCTCTTGGTAAAACAAACCCAGTCTGGATTCATGAGAAGAAATAGTGGAGTTAATCTCTGGAGTTGGGTCCACTGAGGTAGTTGTTGTGTTGTTGGATGCCATCAAATAGAGCACGACTCATAGCGACCTATGAACAAAAGATCTGAACCCTGTTCTATCCTGCGCCATCCTCACACTTTCTGACACAGAAGAGCTCATTGCAGCAGTCACTGTCAATCCATTTGGTTGAGGGTCTTCTTCTCTTTCACTGACCCTCCACTTTTCCAAACTTGATGCCCCTCTACAAGGAATAGCCTTTTCTAAAAACATACCTGAAGTATATAAGATAAAGTTGTATCGCCTTTGCCTCCAAGGAGCATCTTCTCCAAGACGTCTCTGTTTGCTCTTTTGTCAATCCATAGGATGTTCAACGCTCTTGTCCAGCACCGCAGCTCAAAGGCATCAGTTCTTCTCCTGTCATCCTTATTAATTGTCCAGCTCTCAGATGAATAACAAGTCATTGGAAAGACCAGGGCCTGGTCGTTAGTAGTAAAGACTTGTTTTCAAGACATTTGAACTAATGAAGATGTGTTTGAACTCCTCCTTGTCTCCAAAACCTATTTTACTCATTAACACACCCAAGATGATATGCTCATGGTATTTTAAAAGTAAAAGCTCATATTGCTGTGACCCTCAGAAAATGGTCTGAAATTAGTGAATGGCAAGATTGTAGAAGGTCTAATTTATTTTAAAATACTGGTGACATTATAAACTTATCAAGCAGTATTACAGTTTATGAATGTTTTCTGTACTTTTTTTCAACGAATATGAATATTTGGAGACAAAGCACTTTGGTAGATTAGTATTGTACTGGATTCTTGAAGTTTGCTGCAAAAGCCATAATGGGCTGCCTATGAATAGAAAAAGTAACGTAAATGGATGGTGATAATAGTTATGCTACTGCAAGGAACCTCAACTGTGCCTCAGTTTAAAACCAAACATCAATGCCATCGCTTCAATTTCAACTCATG